ATCTCTGGACCCTGCCCTCATTCCTTTGAGGTTTTCTGTGGCGCACACCACAGTTTAATCGGACTAACCCCAGCCGTGCTGGGACTGGTTTCCTGTTACAAACACAGGCTTAGTTTTAAGATCAAACAACTGTTTGGGTTCTGGTCTGACCTCGCAGGGGATGTGGCTTGGGGCCGGGTGCAGCCTGGCCAAGGGGTGACGTCAGGTCATGCTGGCTTCATTTCCTGAGCACTGTGGCCTCCTCTGTGTCCCCCATCCCTGCCCACCCGGTCCCCTGAAGCCGCTGTCCAGCCCCGGTTGCATTCAGCAGTGACTCATTGGCCCCTCTGCCATCCTCGCCACCAATGCCTAGCTTTACTTATTTGGGGTATTTCTGGGCCATTCCACCCACTCCTCTTGAGGGCACCCAGCGTGTCCCCTGCCCTGTGTGGTTGGCGCCCATCTCTGAAGTGCAGGAAGCAGGAAGCAAGGCCTGCTCATGGGAAGGACCCACAGCTCTGGCTAGAATGGCTTTGGCCCTAAGCCAGAACCTAGGGTGTGGGGAGGCAGGAAATCCAGTGTGGAAGCCATTTCAGACGTCAAATCAGTGGGGCGGAGGCTGTTCACACAGGGTCGTCTTATTGTGACTTTTTGGGGGCTTCCTTCTACCCTCCTTCTCTGGTGAGCTTTCTAGGCAAGCCTGCGACATGACATTCTCATTCTGTTTGGAGCAGGATGAAGGGTTTGTGCCTGACACCGTGAGGTGTGGACGGGGCTGAGAACTGGCGCACGGCCGTCACCTGCTGTGGTGACCACCAGGAGTCTCCCTCGCAGGCTCTCTGGCTCGAAGGGTGACCAAGTTCCAGCCACAGGGTCCCTGCTCAGCCCTGAGGACACCCACACTGGCACAGGGTCTTAGCAAGAGACTGCAGCACTCGGGTCTAAGGTCCACACCTCCCCACATTGGCACAGGGTCTCAGCGAGACACTATGGCACTTGGGGAAAGGCCATTTTGTCATTGACTGCAACTTTCTCAAGAAAGCATTTTCCACTTGCGTTTCCACAGAGGGCGGTTTTGCTGGAAACTCACAGGACCCTGTCCTCCACCAGACACGCAGTGTGCAGAGGCGTGTACCCAAAAAGCGAAGTGTGGCATCACACGGTTCTTTAATCTCGAGCCAAACTCCTGGGAAACAAACCAGACAGACGCAGGTACGTGCTCAGCTCTGAGGCTGTGGTTTGGTTCAGGGCTAGGGCCGTGCAGATGCCTGGCAACCCAGCTGGGCCTCGCCACGGCTGGGGTAGGATGCAGTGCTGGGAGCCCGCGGGCCGGGAGCAGGCGCCCGGGCAATGCTTCGGTGGTCCTGGAGGGACTGGATGTTCCCGCCGTGGCGTTGCTGTCCAGGGGGACAAAAAGCAGTGTGAATGGGAAACGGAGCACTCTGTCCAGTGAATCCACATGTGGGCGGCTGTGTTCTGTGCTCCCTGGCCGCGGGACCGTAAGCCGTAAGCCGGACACCACATTCCCAAAGCCAGGAGGGCCATGACGCCTGCATGCAGTGTCCAAAGGCCACACCAAGGCCGCGGTCCCTGCCAAGCAGGCAGTGATTCACACCTGGAGAAGCGATGTGATTGGACTTCTACTCAAATAACATAAGCGTTAGGGACAGAGAACACCAGCGCTTACACTTGACAAATCTCTGGGCATTTTGCTGAGGGCCAAGCTCGGCTCCCCACTCCCAGCCCTGTCCCCCACATGACAAGGCCCCATCAGCCCCCAAGTCCATCTGGCCTCACACTCACACAGCAGGAAAGCCTCTTTTCAAATGAGCACCCTTGCCAAAGCCCAAGTGGCCACGCCCCCTCCATGGGGCTAGGACAGAGTTGACTGCAGACCTCAAACCGCGACGGGGACTTGGGTCACAAGGCGCCCCGATGCCCGGGTGCCCCTGTGCCTCAGTTTCCCCATGCGGGAAATGGCTCCATGTTGGCAATGTGAGGCATCGAATATCTGAGACTTGGGGAGCGTCTTGTGGCCAAGTCAGGGCACTGCCAGCTGGGCCCAAATTGAAGGCGACGGCCAAGGCTTGAGGCACCACGGCCTCAGTGGTCAGCGGGGCCAAGTCACCAGGCCATAAGATGGTGGGGCCAGCCGGGGGCTTCAGAGACAGCTTTTCCCTCACACTCCAAAGCCACAGAGCGAGCCCAGGACTGCAGGCGGGGAAGGGTGTGCATGTGTCTCCCGATGGAGGTGACCGCCGCGGCTCTCCTGCCTGCTGCCCACGTCAGACACCCCTCTGCTAGCCCATCTCCCATGCCACGCCACCCACCATTCCCTTCTCACCCCCTGAAGCTCTCTCGTCCTCACAAAAGCAACAGGGTCACTTACACACCGTCCTGTTTTTCTGGACACCATGACCAGGATGGGACAGGACTCGTGAACCCACATGAGATCACACTAAGATCCTAAAGGCTTTGCGCTTCTCTGGAGTGGCTGCTGTCTCATGCGCACCCGGCCTGGTGTGCTCACCCCACCCAGTGTGTCCGTCCTGCCCAGTGAGTGCCCCCTGCCTGGTGAGTGCCCCCTGCCTGGTGAGTGCCCCCCGCCCGGTGTGCCTGCCCTGCCCAGTGTGCCCTCCCCACTGGGTGTGCACCCACCTGGTGTGCCCACCCCACCCCACCTGGTGTGAGCACCCAGGTCTGCCGGGCTGCAGGGTTCTCAGGGAGTCCAGGCAACCGCCCCAGCCCCTGGCAATCCCCTTCTCAGCAGGCCTGGACCCAGAGCCACACAGGGGCATCCCCAGCACATCCTGTCCCAGGATTCCTCTTCTCTGATTCACCTGAGCCCAGACTGCAGGTGGCAGACACGTTCCTGCCCAGACCCGGACGCCTCCATCTGCTTGGACCACTGGCTTCCCTCAGGCTTTGCCATCAGAACAGACAGGTGGTTTCTTTTAAACCTGTGCCACCCCGTTTTGCCCTGCAAATGCTGTTATTTTTAAAGCTACTGAATCATGTGATTTTCCTGCTTTGCTTCATGCCACCCCTGGGGCTGCAGCTCTGCTGCTGCCCGCCCTTGCCCTGCCGCTCCTGCAGAGGCCTCCTCCCCACCCACAACTCACGGTGGCCACACGGGCTGGGCTTCTCACCTTGGCCACCTCCTCCCATGTCACCCATGTGATGATGGAGGGCCCAGGGGTGCCGGGACTGAGAACTGGAGCCTCCACCCTAGCGCCTGGCTCTGCGTGGGAGGTGGGGTGGGGTGGGGTGGTCAAGCTCCAGCTGTCTTCTCAGTGGACCTTTGACACCACTTTGTATCTTCCTATTAAAAACGTGTGCAATGCTGTAACAATTCTAATTAACTCCTTAGGTTCCACTCCTAGGAACAAACCTAAGAGGTCAGGAGGTGAGAACTTCCAACCCACCTGGCTGAAGCTTCAGAGCCCACATACCGTTTCTCTGCCTTTGCCTCCTCTTTTTCCGTTGAGGTAATCCGCTGTTCCCTTCTCCTCTCTGGGCCATGGTGGGCAGCTCGTCTCCTGCAGACACCACTCCCCAGAACCACCCCAGGCTCTGCAAGATGCCACCCGGCATCAGGACCTGTCAGGCCAGTGAGACAGGCACTCCCTCTCGCAGCAGGGCCACACCCACCACGTGGGCTAAAGGCACAAAGTCTTCCTGCCAGGTGGGAGGGCACAGCTGCATGGGGCTGTCCATCCTTCCAGATCCTTAGAACGCTCACAGTCCTTAGGGTCCCAGGACCCACTTCTGCCAGCAGCTCTGGGTCACAGGAGCCCAGCTTCAGGGTGCAGACAAGGACCTAAAGTCCAGCCCCAGATCCTCTGATGGTGAACTCCAGCTGACCTCAGCGTTTCCAGGCAAGCTCCAGCCGCAGGTTCCCTGGAGGTGCCGCACAGGACGAAGCTCCCTGCTGGGCCCCTTGAAGCCATCCTGAAAAGCAGTTCTTCTTCTTTCCATTTTGTAATAGGTATCATTTTGCATATGAAACAAAAATATTCATATGGTTATTACTTAAAACTTCAGCAGACGGAGGCGGGACTCCAGGTGTTCAGTGCTGGGCGGGTCCTGCAGGCCCGGACCCCTGTGCCTGTCACTCACACGGCGCCCACAGCCACCCTTCGCTCCACGCACCCACACCCGTTACCTGGCAACTGCCTGCCCAGCACCGCCCACAATATGAGGTGGGCACTCTAGGTTCCTGAAGGACTTGTTGAAGAACTGGAGGGCAGCCAGCTCCCAGGCCCCGCCCTGCTGTGTTAGCCAAGTTTCAGTGCGGCTCCAGCACCCTTGCTGGAGACAGCAAGTGCAGGCCTCAGGAGCCTCTCTGGGGGCATGGAGTACCTACCGGGCTCACAGGAGCCCCACCCTGCGCTGCCTGGGCCCGCAGATACAGCCACTCCACCTGGTGTCAGCCAGAGGCAAGGCAGAGGGCTGGAGGTCATAGAACTGGAGGGGGCAACGCCCACCCTGAGGGCGTCTTGTAATCATTTGGGGTAACAGACATGTGAGTGTGGAGAACCCTCCCTGACTCAACACTTGCATCCCCGAGATAAAAGTGTGGGCCAGTAACTCAGATGTGTTTCGTGAACACACACACCTCCACCAGGAACCAATGCAATGGACGCCCGAAGTCTGTCCTGTCAGAGAACCCGGTGAGTGTCAGGAAGAAGTTACTGATATATATGTGCCTGTGAACGCAGAAACCGTCCTCTGATGTGAAGGATGAGGAGGAGGGTGAGGACAGGGATGAGGATAGGGATGAGAATGAGGATGAAGATGAGGATGAGGATGAAGGTCGAGGATGTGGATGAGGATGCGCATGAAGGATGAGAGTGAGGATGAAGAATGAAGATGAGGATGAAGGATGAGGATCCGAATGGGGTTGAGAATGAGGATGAAGGATGAGGGTGAGGATGGAGGATGAGGATGAGCATGAAGGATGAGGGTGAGGATGAGAATGAGGATGGAGGATGAGAATGAGAATGAGGATCAAGGATGAGGATGAAGATGATGATGAAGGATGAGGATTTGAATGGGGTTGAGGATGAGGATGAAGGATGAGGATGAAGGCCTAGGATGTGGATGAGGATGCGCATGAAGGATGAGGGTGAAGATTAAGAATGAAGAAGGTTCTCCTAACCTTCCCCCTCAATAAGGACAAGACCTGCATAGGTGCCCTTTCGAAAGCAGGGTGCTGAGGAAGGAGTCCATGACCCAGGTGTCACTCAAAGAAAACTTGGAAGCCTCTTTGAGAATCAGGTCGGGGCTAAAGGTCCTCGCAGGCTGGCTCCTTCCCTCCCTGCATTCATCATCCTCTTGTTAATTGGACCACACTGAGAACCAGCGATAGAGGTGGGCCGGGGCTGGGGAAGACGGGGCCACAGGGGCAGCTGTTCGGTCCTGAGCCAGTCTGGGTGCCCGTGGCTGTTCCCCCTGGAGACCTCCTCACGCCGGCTCTGCCCCCACATGTGGTCTCCCAGCTGTGGAGGAACCCTGGGTCAGACTCTTGTTTCCTCAGCTGTTGGGGCTGCGCAGTGAGGAGCTCCCAGGAGGCCTGATGCCCCTTTCAGGCTCCACACTGAGGTTTTCAATGCTTACGAAGAGGCACAGAGAACACAGGAGAAACGCAATTCCCCAGGAGTCCCAGGGAAGCCCTCCGTCCATCCTGTTTCCTTTCTGCTGTTACTTCCTCTGCCGAAAGCTTCTCTCCCCGTGTGTGGGGATAGGGCTCTGGGCCTTGGTGGCGGGAAGCGGCTGATTTGCTTCAACACTCCCCAGGGACTGGAAAGTATTTCCTCGCACAGTTCATTCCAATGGGTTCACCAAACAGAGGGCCCTGAGGGGCATGAACACTCAGCATGCCTCCAGTGAGACCCTAAATACACACCCAGGTGCCACTCGCTTCCAGGAGCTCATTCTGCTCTGTGGGGACACAGGGCCCTGCCGGGCCTTCTCTCCCAGGTGCCGGGATGCCCAGGGCTGCCCTTGCTCATTGATCCATCCCTGCCTGGTCACCACCTGCTGGAAAGGCAGCCTCAAAGGCCCCTCCAGGTGGGTATCCACACCCCCGACTGAGGCTGGCCTTTCCATGGCCTTGGTGCCAGCACACACTCTACCCTCCAGGAAGGCCACAGGATCTGGTGAGGACAAGGTGCCCTCCATGGTGGCACGGCTGCTGCAGCTTCCAGGAGGATCCCCAGGGGCCCACCGTGGGGCCACTTGCCAAGCTGCTCCCCCTTCTCCGTCTCTTTCTTGACCTGCTTTGTCCTCTGGAACCCAGCCAGGTTGCTCTCCTCAGCAGCCGCCATACACGGGCATGGCCATGAGGCCACTTTCCTTCCAGAGAAGC